CTTACCATTTATAATTAGTAAAAGTACTTTTGATTTCCAATCCATGGAGTCTCTTAGTTTTTCTTTCCTAATTATGTAATGGAGTGATGCTGACAGGAAGATTGTGATGTCATAAAATGAAATGTGCAATAATCACTCCTGAGTCTTTTATGCCGGTGTGATAGGGGTAGATGAAACCTTGTAAACATTGTATTAGCACTAACCAATAGCCACAAATAAGTGACCCAGGGGAGAATAAAAGTACTACTACTCACATGTACTCTGTGTAAGCTGCTGATGGAAAAAAAAGAATTTCTTCGTAAGCAAACTTAAAAATACTGTTGACTGCTACAGTCATGGAGGGAAAAAAGAGAGCCAGTTTGGTATAGTGGTTAAGGCAGTAGATTAGAAAGAAGGAGACTCTAAGTTCTAGTCCCACCTTAGGCACGAAAACCAACTGGGTGACTTTGGGCCAGTCACCAGGAGACTGAGTTCTAGAATTATAGGGGGGGTTGGAAGGGACCTTGGAGGTCTTCTTGTCCAACTCTCCCCACCTCAAGGAAGCACCTTCTACCACCCCAGTCAAATGGTTGTCCAGTCTAGTCTTGAAAACCTACAGTGATGGCGCACCCACAACCCCAGGGGGCAAGCTGTTCCACTGATTAATTGCTCTTATTGTCAGAACATTTCTCCTGATTTCTAGGCTGAATCTGTCTTTGACAAGCTTCCACCTTTTACTTCTTGTCCTCCCCTCTGGTGCCTTAGAGAATAAGTCAATTCCCTCTTCCTTGTGATAGCTCCTCAAGTACTGGAAGACAACTATTATCTCTTAATGCTTCTTGTCGATAGGCTAGACCCTTGATGGTGAACCTATGGCACACATGCCAGAAGAGGTACCCAGAGCCATTTCTCTGGGCACGCTGAGCCATTACCCACTGCTCTTCTGGGTTCTGGCGCACCAGTCAGCTGGTCTTCACGTGCGCGGGAGCACCAGAAACTGGAAGAACAGCTGCCTGATGCACATGTGCACACCAGGAAGATGATCTTCCAGTTTCCGGAGTGCACATGAGCGCCAGCTGCCTGGTCTTCTGGTTTCTGGTACGCATGCGCACCTGAAGACCAGCTCATGTGCCCAAAGACATGGAGAGGAGATCCTGGCAGTTGCTTTCTAGGGGAGAGAGCTGTCGGCCAGGATGGGCGGGCAGGGGATTGAATTGAATTGAATTGAATTTATTATATTTCTATGCCGCCCTTTTCCCAGAAGGGACTCAGGGCGGCTCACAACCCAAGTCAGGGAGGGATAGGGGATACAAATAGGGAAAAAAAGACATGGACAGACAATACCACAATTTAAAAGCAACTCAACAGGCACACCATTTGAGCGGGGACAGGAACTCATCAGCCCCAGGCCTGTCAGAACAGCAGGGTTTTGAGGGCTTTGCGGAANGGAATAGAATAGAATGGAATGGAATGCAATGGAATGGAATGGAATATGGAGAATAGAATAGAATAGAATAGAATAGAATAGAATAGAATAGAATAGAATAGAATAGAATGGAATGCAATGCAATGCAATGGAATGCAATGGAATGGAATAGAATTAAAATAGAATAGAATAGAAAATAGAATGGGAATAGAATAGAATGGAATGGAATGCAATGGAATGGAATGGAATATGGAGAATAGAATAGAATAGAATAGAATAGAATAGAATAGAATAGAATAGAATAGAATAGAATGGAATGCAATGCAATGCAATGGAATGCAATGGAATGGAATAGAATTAAAATAGAATAGAATAGAAAATAGAATGGGTATAGAATAGAATATAGAATAGAATATAGAATAGAATATAGAATAGAATAGAGAATAGAATATAGAATAGAATATAGAATAGAATAGAAAATAGAATGGGAATAGAATAGCTTTATTGTCTGAATGTACACTAATTGGCATATATTAAAATGAAATTGTGTTGCATAGAGTCTCAAAGGGTCTCTACCACTAACATACCCTGCATAAAGATGGCAAAATAAATAAATAAGTATAAAAATTGTGCATATACGCACATATATTGTACCCACAAAGTGTATAAGAACAAGACAAACTGGTAAATTTTTATAAGGCCGCTTGTAGCATCCCGGCAAAACATGGAAGAGAGGAGGGAAGATTTGGGGAGGAGGGAAGGGGGTGAGGTTTGTGGTGGCCCCCATTCAGTTTTGCAAGGAGAACCGTGATCTGAATTTCTTTTTTAAAGGCCTTCAAATCCCCACCCAGCTTCTGCACGCTGTCATCAGCAAGGTTATTCCCTTCCAAAGATTGAAGAAGATAACCTCGGTTGTTGTCAAATGTCGTTTATCTTTCCTTTTTGCATTGGCTTTTGAAAGATATCAAGCCAAACTTTCTCTCCAGTTGCCATTCTGTTAGCAACTGGAGGGCCGGGGGGGGGGACCCAAATCTTTGCCGTTTCTGTTGCAGCCCAGCCTGTCACGTCCAAAGCTCTGTGGTTAGCTTCCTGCCCTCTATTTTCAGAAGCCTCCAAGGTTACGTCTCGACCGAAAGAGAAATGCTGGGGGTTTTTAAAAAAATAAAAAATAAAAAAAGAGAGAGTAGAAAACCAATTCCTTTTTGTAAACAAGATCACCTTACATTCGGAGCCAATATTCCTGCGAGCAGCTTTCTGTCTTCCTCATTAGCTGCCCAGATGGGATAAATTCAATTTCTGGTGGGGGTTGTTGTTGTTTTTAAGCTGTACTTTCTGGAAATGTGTGTGTGTATGCGTGCGACACGGCCTGCCTGCGTGGGTGTGTTTTTCTGTTCTTAAAAATATATCAGGACGTGGGCCTGGAGGGGAAGCCTGATTGCCTCACCTGCACAAATATTCCCAATTAAACACGGCTTCCAGGGAAAAAACACATTTCTTGAAGCAGCAGACAAGAGAATCTGTTGTACAGAAGAAGAAAATCTATCATCAAACAGATTCCGCATTCGGCAATAGCCACTGCAGGGACTAAAATGGCTTCGGTGTGTGTTTTTCTAAACTTGCTCTTGCAAGGGACTAGCCTAAAGAAGAGGCAGTCAAGCTATTCTCCAAAGCACCCGAAAGAAGTAACGGATGGAAACTCCTCAAGAAGAGAAGCAACCTAGAATGAAAGGCAAATTTTCCTGACAGTTAGAGCAATTCATCAGTGGAACGACTTGCCTCCAGAAATTGTGGGTACTCCAATTCTGGAGGGTTGTTTTTTTTTTTAAAAAAAGAGATTGGACAACCATTTTATTATTAAAAGTAAGGTTCTACATTGAGCCAAGAAAAACAAAATACAGTATAGGTGGTACCTTGCTCAATAGTAGNCCATCCCATGGTCCAATCTCCCCCTGCCGCGCTGGCAGCTTCCACCCATCCAATTCCGGTCAGGTGCAGAGGTGCAAAAGACAAAGGATGATGACCTTGGCTTTCTAGAAAGAATGTTGTTATGGCTACATAGCATCTAACTCCATACATTCCCCCTCCCCTCCTATTTTCCCACCGTGGAAAATGCATAGCAGAACAATGGAAAGTGTGGGAGGCCTGAGACCCAAAAGGAAAAGAGGGCTGCATGGCCTGACAGCTGCATTTCCAGGTTGAGTGTGGTTGTGCGGAGTATCTGCAATCAAAAGTTGCTGGTGCAATCAGTGTTCTGATGCGGCCTGGTGAAATCAAAGAAAGACGTGTGCCCTATCTCGCGCAGGCTGCCGGAGCAAGCGATTCCATTCCGGAGAGTGCGAAGCTATCAGATGGATGAATATGGATGAGACAGGTGGCGGGGAGGACTTTGGGGAAGCAAGAGGGTGGGAGGGGAGAAAAAGGAACGCCGGTTGCTGATTAGCTCCAATAAATTGGAAGGCTGTTTTCCCGATTGGAATCCCAACGCCACGGAACACACTTTTGTGGAGAGGAGGAGTAATGTGGGGCGAGATGTATAGATGGTCCTCGAACGTACGGCCACGACGGAGCCCCAAATTTCTGCTGCTAAGTGAGACCTTTGCAGGGGGCGGGGGGTCTTGCGTTCCATTTGATGGCCCTTCTGGCCACCGTTGTTAAGCGGATCCCTGCGGCCGTTAAGTTAGGAGGAGAGTTGTGACATGAATCTGGCTTCCCCCATTGACTCCACTCGTCAGAAGGGCGCAAAAAAGGGATCGTGCGACAAGGCAGCCGTCATAAGTATGAGACAGTTGCCAAGCGTATGGATTTTTGATCGTGTGGCCATGGGGAGACTGCAAGTGTGGTCAATGTGTAAAAGGGTCCTGTCACTTTTACAATATTCCTTTTTCCAGAATAGAATAGAATAGAATAGAATAGAATAGAATAGAATAGAATAGAATAGAATAGAATAGAATAGAAT